GGGAGTTAGAACCGAATACGCATTAAACTTAGTCGAAAAAGGGCATTCTGGGGATGAAAATTCCAAACAGCCCCCGAACCACCTTGTGGCTCCCACAGACAGCTTTCCCTTGACAAATAAGACCTGTGACAAGAGACGGAATGTAATTCGGACCCGTAGGTTGGGAGTTAGAGCCGAATATGCCTTAAACTTAGTCAAAAAATGGAGTTTCAGGGGAAAAAATTCAAAACAGCCTCTGAACCACCATATGACTCTCACAAACAGCTACCCCATGACAAATAGGATTTGTAACAATAGACGAAATGTAATTCAGACCCGTAGGTGGGGAGTTAGAGCAGAAAACGCCTTAAACTTAGTTGAAAAAGGGCATTCCGGGGAAAGAAATTCAAAACAGCCCCTGAACCACTGTGTGGCTATTATGGACAGCTTCCCATTAACAAACAGGACTTGTGACAACTGACAGAATGTAATTCGGACCCGTATGTTGGAAATTATAGCCGAATACGCCTTACACTTAGTCAAAAAAGGGCATTTCAGGGGCAAAAATTCAAAACAGCCCCCTAACCACCGTGTGGCTCTCACAGACAGCTTCCCCATGACAGTTAGGACCTGTGACAATAGAAGGAATGTAATTCAGACCCGTAGATTGGAAGTTAGAGCCAAAAATGCCTTAAACTTAGTCGAAAAAGGGCATTTCGGGGGCAAAATTCAAAACAGCCCCCGAACCATCGTGTGGCTGTCGCGGACAGCTTTTCCATGAAAAATAGGACTTATGACATATGACGGAATGTAATTCGAACCCGTAGGCTGGGAGTTAGAGCCGAATACGCCTTACACTTAGTCGGCAAAGGGCGTTTTGGGGGCAAAAATTCAAAACAGCCCCCGAACCACCATGTGGCTCATATAGAAAGCTTTCCCATGACAATTAGGACCCTTGACAATAGACGGAATGTAATTCGAACCCGTAGGTTGGAAGTTAAAGCCAAAAATGCCTTAAACTTAGTTAAAAAAGGGCGTTCCGAGGGAAAAAATTCAAAACAGCCCCCGAACCACCGTATGGTTGTCACAGACAGCTTCCCCTTGACAAATAGGACTTATGACAACTGACGAAATGTAATTCAGACCCGTAGGTTGGGAGTTAGAGCTGAATGTGCCTTACACTTAGTCGAAAAAGGGCGTTCCGGGCGAAAAAATTCAAAACAGCTCCCGAACCACTGTGTGGCTCTCATGGACAGCTTCCATATGACAATTAGGACTTATGACAACAAACGGAATATAATTTGAACCCGTAGGTTGGGAGTTAGAGCTGAAAATGCCTTAAACTTAGTCGAAAAAGGGAGTTTCGGGGGGTGAAAATTCAAAATAGCCCCCAAACCATCGTGTGGCTATCATGAACAACTTCCCCTTAAGAAATAGGACTTGTGACAACTGACGGAATGTAATTCGGACCCGTAGGTTGGGAGTTAGAGCCGAATACGCCTTACACTTGGTCGAAAAAGGGCGTTCCGGGGGCAAAAATTCAAAACAGCCCCCGAACCACCATGTAGGTCTCACAGACAGCTTCTCCATGCCAAATAAAACCTATGATGACAGACGGAATGTAATTCGGACCTGTAGGTTGGGAGTTAGAGCTGAAAACGCCTTAAACTTAGTCGAAAAAAAGATTTTCGGGGGCGAAAATTCAAAACAGCTCCCAAACCACCATGTGACTCTCACGGACAGTTTTTCCATGACAATTAGGGCCTATGACAACTGATAGAATGTAATTAGGACGCGTAGGCTTGGAGTTTGAGCCGAAAATGCCTTAAACATAGTCGAAAAAGGGTGTTCCGGGGGCGAAAATTCAAAACTACCCCCGAACCACCGTGTGGCTCTCACGGATAGCTTTCCCATGGCAATTATGACCTATGACAATAGACGAAATGTAATTAGGACCCGCGGGCTTGGAGTTTGAGCCGAAAACACCTTAAACTTAGTTGAAAAAGGCGTTACAGGGGCAAAAATTCAAAACAACTCCCAAACCACCATGCGGCTCTCACGAACAGCTTCCTGTGACAAATTGGACCTATGACAATAGACGAAATGTAATTTGGACCTGTAGGTTGGGAGTTAGAGCCGAAAACGCCTTACACTTAGTCGAAAAAGGGGGTTTCCGGGGGCAAAAATTCAAAACAGCCCCCTCAACATCGTCTGTGTAACAGACAGCTTCCCTATGACAATTAGGACTTGTGACAATAGACAGAATGTAATTCTGACCCATAGGTTTAGTGCTAGAGCTGAAAACGCCTTAAACTTATTCGAAAAATGGCGTTCTAGGGTCGAAAATTCAACACAGTGCCCACAGTATGGCTGTCACGAACAGCTTCCTCGTGACAAATAGGACCTGTGACAACAGACGAAATTTTTTTCGGACTTGTAGATTGGGAGTTAGAGCCAAAAATGCCTTACACTTAGTCGAAAAATGAGTAACACTTAGTTTAAATAGCAACAACTTTATGAAAATAACATCCACATATTCTAATAATTGCCTTTGTATATTTATAGGACGAAAAAATTACATAATAGATTGTTTGTGTCGTTGGTTGGAATAAATATTGCATGATACATATATATATGTTTTTATTTCCAAGAAGACATTTTTAGATTGTTCTACCTTAAATGCATGTTACAACTTTTTTCCTATGGCTAACTGAATTGATATTTTGTAACCAAGTCTAATGTTTTTTTTTTTTTTTAGATGTTGCGTGGACTTGTGTATAATCCATTTTGGTGTATGGAGAAGAAATTTCACTTTTGTCTAGAACTAATACTTTTGTCGTCCTCGGCTTTTGTGTAGTTCAGTATTACTGATACAGAAAATTTTTGGCAACCAACTAATAATTACTAGCATGATACGTAGATCACCTTATGTCGTGGTACACATATGACCATTTGTTGTCGTACATACATATGACCTTTTGTCGTGGTACATATATAAGCTTTTGTTATGGTTTATAGAAAAACTTTTGTCGTGGTACAAATTACGATGGTCATTTGCACCATCTCAAATGGTCATTTCGCATGGTAATAAATGAATTTTTTGTATACGGAGGGCTTTGATTTTTGTATAATTCTATATTTTGTATGGAATTATTATTTTAGTTTGGACAATAGTTGGTTTGTATGGATTTTGACATTTAAAGTTATTTATTTTTTGTATACGGATGTAGATTGTGGAATGATTGATGGTATATATGTATCATTTTGTTTATATACGTATTACAGGTTGCATGGAATATAGACAGGTTGTGGAGAAATTATAATTTTGTGATAAAAACATATTATCATGGAAAATAGTTTGGGCGACTAAAAGTTTTGTAGGAAAAAAACAAAAAAAAAAAATCAAAAATCAAACATTTGGCAACTAAAAGTTTTGTAGGCAAAAGAAAAGCAAACATTTGGCGACTAAAAGTTTTGTAGCCAAAAGAAAATCAAAAATTTGGCAACTAAAATATTTCGTAGCTAAAAACAAAAGTTGAAGAATAAAAACACTTTTGCCAACTAAAAAGTAAGTAGCGAAAAATGTGTGACTTTAAACGACCAAATGTTTAGTAACCAAAACAAAAACTATTTGCCGACTAAAATTTTAGTAGCCAAAAACATAACACTTTAGGCGACTAAACCTTTAGTAGCCAAAAAAATTTGACTTTAGGCGACTAAAATGTTAGTAGCCAAAATACAAGTATTTACTTTAGGCGACTAATATATTTAGTAGCTAAAATATTTTTTCGCAACTAAATGTTTAGTCGTTAACAATAACTGAAGCATTTGGCAACAAAAAAAATTGGTCGCCAAAAATGTGCTATTTAATTTTATTTCCAGCCTTTTGGCGACAAAAAATTTAGTTGGAAATTTAATACATTTGGCGACTAAAGTAATTTTAGTCGCCAATTACCTTTCTTGACAATTCTTCCGCGACTAACGCTGTGATCAAACAATTTAGTCGCTAAGAGCCTTTGGTGACTAAAAATTGACTTTTGGCGACTAAAAAAGTGAAAATTCTTGTAGTGTCTTGAATATCTTTAGATTTAAACCACTAAGTAAAAGAGAAAAAATAAAAAAATATATATATAAATTCTAGACAGAAAACATGAAGTTCCATCTCCAAATGCCAACCGTTTTCATCTTTGCATAGGCATGGGTTATACTCCATAAATTCAAAAGTCACAACTTTTAATTTAAAAGTTTCACCACTTGGTTTAAAATCACAACTCACATCTCTTTGTTAAATCACAACAGGAGTTAGGATGGGATTCAAGGTCCTATTTGGTACTGGAGTGCATTTAGTCTATAATCGCTTTTATAGTCCTTCAAAAGCTTTAAGGTGTTTAATGCATCTTTAAACGCTTTCATGTTTAAGCACATACTAGTTAAACAATAACTATTGTGAAAGTACATTAGTGCAACAATCAACCGTGCCAAATCTTTTTACAACATTTTCTTTTCCGCTAGTTTAATTTAAAAATGCATTATATTAAAAGTCACTATACCTCCAAACTCAACCTAAGTTTGCTTTTAATTGCATGACATGCTCGATGCAAGCTTTTGCCATCTAACTGAAGTAATGTCATATCTTTCTCCCTATTAGATCATAAGAACTGGTATCTCTCATGGTTAATGTCAAACCACACATGTGATGCCAACTTTAGAAAGGTTACATACCTTGTAATTTTCACTCGAATTTTACTTTGGTCTAGTATTTTTTTAATTGTAACAAATAAGTTCTCAAACTTCAAATCTTGTTTTTATTTAATTTTTTCTTTACTCATTATTAAAAGAATAATGCTTGGGACCCCTTTTTGGGGGTCACCCCCTCACCCCCCTTTGTCACGTGGCGAGTGGTGATTGGAGGAGTATGAAAAAAAAGAAAAAGAAAAAGAAAAAGTAACCAATGAGAGAGAGAGAGGGGGTCAAAGGGGGTGGGAGGAAAAGGGAGGATGAATCATTGTTGAAAAATAATGTGAAAAAATAAATCAACCACACAAATTTTTTTACGTGGTTCCGTCGATGTAAAGTATGTCCATAGGACCGTAATCTGATCTCACTATCAATCAAGAGTTTACAAATTATTACAAACGAGATTCAAAGGTCTCACAATCACCCTTAAATAAATTTTAAATTATCAAAAAGAGATAACTCACCAAGTAGACGTAACAAATTATATTCAAACAAGCTATTGAAAACCCAAGACAATAAATCCAAATTAGTCGCCACTGAAGTAGCCAGATATATACCCAAACAGTGCTTCGAAGCAGCCAGAAACCGAAAACTGAGAAGACTTTGAAGCACCAGCCAAAAGCAGCAATAAGAAGAGCACTAAGGTTTTAAAAACACACACAGCACTATTCACCAAATGAACCCACCGAAATTGTATATTGACAGCACTATACAAATAACAATACAGAGGTTATATTTGTCTGATTAATTTTATTTTTTATTTGGTTGATATATTTAATAAATCTTATAATATAAACGATTCACATCATCAAAATATGATCGGAATAAACCTTACAAGGTGTGACAGCACAGGTACTGTCACAGCACCCACCCTTCCACCATGTGAGATGCAGAGAGAAAGTGCATTCTTTACTCTCTGTTTATTTGGGGAAAAAAAAAGATTTTCAATTGTTTTTTTATTTGTAGAAAATGTTATTTTTCTATATTTGGTGGTGGTGGTGGTGGTGGTGGTGGTGGTGGTGGAGGAATGAAGGTGAAGGTGGTAGCAAGGTGGTGGGGTGGCAATGGAAGTGATAGCGACGATGATGGTGGTGGTGGTTGTGGTGATGGCGGTGTGGTGGTGGAGGTGAGACTGACAGCAGTAGTGTGGTGATATTAATAAAATTTTAGTCTGAAAAATATTTGTTACCTTTTAAAAGTGAAACATTTCATGCCCAAATAAGCTTGGTTTTTCTTGATCATGAAAAATATTTTTCGTCGACTTTCGTTTTTCATTATATCAAACGCTAGAAAATACGGACTAAACAAAAGGGTGGAACCCAAAATCTTCAATATGAGAAACAGGGTGGAACCCAAAATCTTCAATATGAGAAACATCTTTACTACTTGAGTAGCATATAACATATTTATTTTTAAATCAAAATTAAAATTTATATTTCACAGATTTAACAGCACACTCATCGATCAACACACAACCCACTAATATATATGTACATATACATTCTAACCTTGGATACTGTATCTTCAACTTCCTAGCATTACGTAATACATCAGCTTGACCAAAATTCGCCATGACTTCAAAAGATGTGCCGCTTAAATCAAATTAAAATGCACCGCATCTACAACACACAAATCAAAGATAACTACAGTTACTGAATTTCATGAACATGCTGGATTTGATATGCATGCCACCCAAAGATATTTTGAAAACCATATATGCTTATTAGATAGCTTCAATTAATGTATGAAAACAATGAAAACAATGAAAACACTTCTACTGTTTCTCAATTTTAATGGGGAAGGATTTTCTTTCATCCACTATTTTACTAGAGGGTTGTTTTACTAGAGGGCTGTTTGTTGGGATTTATAGAGCCACCACATGTCTTATTTTGATATATAATTTTAAAAAATTAGATTTATTCGATATTCATAATTATATGTTTTCATTCATTTGTTCAAAGAAAATGAATAATAAGTATAATTTTGAAATTATCCATTCATTTTTTTTAAAGAGCAATATGAAAAAAAAATTATATGGATAAAAATATCACATCAATCTAAATTTTATCGTGCATGATCTACACAAAAAAATCATAAAATTATATGATTCAGATCACTGAAATGAGACTTATAATGTATCTAACGAACGAATTATCACACTTGTATTTCAACAGTAAATTAGATAGAACTCCTTTTCTTCAAATTTTAAGAGATGTCTATATAATTTACTCTAAATTGTACAACCAAACACATATTTGTTTTATTCATTATTTGAGAAGAGGGGTAGAGGGGAATATAGGTGTTTGGTTGTAGAGTGTGAGCTATCTAATATTGTTTAATATAGTGTGAATAAGAAAATATGGGTTTAGTTGTATGATTTAAATTTTCTAAATTCTTAAATTACTATTTTTACACGTTAGATTAATTTTCACTATTACTGATTTGTAGAGATTGTCTTCAATTAGAATATATGAACAAAAATAAGAAGCAATAGGGACCAAATAGATGCATCTATTAATTTAGGAATGAAGTAAAAAATGTGACTATAGTTTAGGGTATAAAAAAAATATGACAATTTAAAAGAAAAAAAATCATTAAATACAACAAAATAAGAAAATGTACTGAATTTTTGTAATATTTTTTATTATTTGGTGAATTTTTAAAGTTTTTATTCTCATAAATATTACTCTTTTTAAGTGTATATAGATTAGGTGTGTATAAGAAATAAAATAATATTCGTAAAATATTAAAAAAATCACTAAAAAGGAAAAGAAAAAAAAAACCTCAAATTTCTGAAAAATAAATTAAACCAAACAAGGTAAATATAATTTTTTTTATCTATATAAATAATGAATACTGATGCAAATAAGCTAAGTATAACACCCACGGTGATTAGGAGAGGTTGGTGCAAATTTACCTAGCCAAGCACTCATTCTTTTATTTATTATTTGAAATAGAGAGAAATATGGGTGCTTGGTTGTTGAGGGTAAGTTATCTAATATTGTGTTAGTAAGAAAATAGATGTTTAGTTATACAATTTAAGTTGTCAAAATTGTAAAATTATTTTTCCAACCATTAGATTAGATTTTTCTCATTAATGATTTGGATAGATTGTCTAAATCAGACCATAAGAACTAAAATCATATGCAATTAATAATTTAAGAATGAAGTAGAAAAAGTGACCATATTTTTGGGTATAAAAGTAAATTTTCAAAAAAAAAAAAAAGACTACTAAAAAAGTGCCCAAGTCTCACAAGTTATACCTCTTTCAATTGCAGCCATTAGAGTCAATAGCAAACCCTTTTTTCACTACTCATTTATTACTTCCATGATTTTATTTATTTATTTATTATTTTTCGCAAGATGATTTCCAATCAACTGCTTTGTATAAACATCAAAGGAAATAAAATAGATTTATTTTGTATGATACAATTAAAGTGCTAAGAAACTAAAAAAAGACTAGATAGCAACCATAACCAAGCTATAGCTTTTCATGATCAAGCGAAAGACTGCAAAAATTGATTGTAAATACTTACCAAAGGACACCACTTGCATTGGCTAATTTCACCTTGCTCTATTCCTGTGAGAATGCTTTTAAAATCTCTTTCCGCTTTTGTTTCGTTCACCTTCAATGATCCTCACAAGCCATTGAGGTTTTCCTCTAGAGAACATAAGATATCCCATAAAAAATCCCCATACCAGCCCACATCCATAACCCGGCAATATGACATACCAATTGAATCCACTTGAAGTATTGTCTTCTTGTTGAAACATCAAGGGTGGTGGTTGTGGTGTCCTTGGATTGCATGTATTTAACAATGGAGGTCCACATAATGCCAAGTTGCCAATGTAGGAATCATTTAAAAATGTATCAAATTGGTTGCCTTGTGGTATCGGTCCTACTAGTTGATTCTGAGAAAGGTTCAAGACTTCAAGGGATATCAAATTCCTTAGTTGTTGAGGGATCTTTCCAGTGAGTTTGTTGGAAGAGAGATCTAACCATTCGAGCGTTGTCGAATTAGCAAGAGATGCTGGTATATGACCTGTAAGGTTGTTGTGGGATAAGTTGAGCCCTCGGATTGAATTTAGCCTTCCAATGATCTCTGGAATCTCACCTTCGAAATTGTTTTTCGATAAATCAATTGCAGTGAAAATGGTTAGGACTTTTACCATTTCTATGGTTGATCCTTTGATTACTATAGTCAAACTATAGTAATATGTGAAACTGCGACTCATACTTAAGTATTGCAATTTAAAACTGGCTTCGTCAACACTCATCATAGCATTGAAATTCTTGAAATATTTTTTTGGCAATAGACCAGTAAAATAATTGTCAGACAAATCCATAACTCGCAAGTTAAGGAAGGGAAACTTGGCTTTTGAAGTTGGCATGGGCCCATGGAATTTGTTAGATCTCAAAATTAGAACTTGCAACGATTGTAGTTTTTCCAGCCAATGTGGAAAATTGTCAGAGAACTTGTTACATCCAAGATCTAGCACTTCTAGCATTTTGCAATTGACTAAAGATTTTGGTACTGCCCCCTCAAATCCATTTCCATTAAGGTTGATAGTTTCGAAGAAATTTTCCTTTACAAATGTATTAGGAATGGTGCCAGAAAAATTATTCTTCCGCAGATCGAGCACAAAGAAATATGTGCTGAAATTTCCTAAACATTGTGGAATAGAACCATTAAAGCTATTATTAGACAGGACAAGAATTTCAAGGGAAACTGCATGACAGAGCATGTCTAGCTCACCACTGAAGTTATTTGATGAAAGAATGAGACTAGTAAGGTTCACGAGTTTGAAGGTTGAACTTGGAAACCTACCATGTAGGCTGTTATTGCTCAAATCAACAACGCTTAAATGAGAGGATTTGAACTCTTTTACATGGCCAGTCAATTTGTTATTGCTGATTTTGAAGTATTCCAATGCTGGTAAGCTGAAAACCCAAGACGGAATTGTACCGTTGATTAAGTTATCCTCTAAACTTAACGACGTTAGATTTGGAAGTCCAATTATTTGTGATGGAAGAGGTCCCGTTAGCTGAGTATTTGACAAATCTAACACAATAAGTGATGTTAGGTTTGCACCCAATGATGGGAATGAACAGCCGAAGTTATTTGGACCAATATATAAATATAGAAGACTTTTTACATTAGGTAAAAAATCTGCGATTTTACCTTCAAAATTATTACCCCCAACTCGCAAGTAGACAAGATTTCCAAGGTTTGAAAGTGAAGATGGAAGCATGCCAGTGAAATTGTTATCGTCGATGCCTAAAGCAATCATTTCCGTAAGGTTTCCGAGCGACGTAGGGATGGATCCATAAAATTCACAACCAAAGGCACCCAACATTTTCAAGGACTTCAAATTCCCAATTGAGTCAGGTAGTTCTCCAGAGAAATTAGTGTATTGAAGCTCCAAGTCCTGGAGAGGACAGCTCGAGTTTATAAACTTGGGAAAATAACCGGTGAGAGCAAGATTATAGACTATACGCAGCTTATTCAGATGTGGTAAATGGAAAATTCCGTCAGGAAATTTTCCAAGCAATCCACACGAACGAAGATTGAGAATGTTAGGATCAAACACACCCAGAAATATATCTCACACACACAGGAAACACAATATTTACGTGGTTCGGCCCAATGCCTACATCCACGGACAGAAATGAGAAGTTTTCACTAAAATGGAGCAAAATACAAAATACAGAGGAGGAGATGAAACTCACTCACTCCTCTATTGTAATCTTTCTGTGAGCTCCGTCAAGAAATTTTCCAAGCAATCCACACGAACGAAGATTGAGAAGTGTTAAAGAAGTTAGATTGAGCAAGGAATTCGAAACCACTGAAGATATGTTTACATCCATAAGATTAAGTTCTCTTACCTTGGTTAAGTTTTGAACAAGTAATTCAAATCCAGGTTCTTCCAACCTCAAACCATCATTGTCAGAGAGATCAAGCGAGACCAATTTGCTCAGAAAGGAGACTTCTATAGGGACTTTGCCAGAAAAGACAGAGCCAGAGAGGTTGAGGTGTGTCAGTCTGGTGAATCGACTAAATTCAGATGAGATTGGAGACATACCAAAGTAATTGAAAGCAAGGTTGAGGCTTTGGAGGTGAGGAAAGTAGTAGAAGATTGTGGTATTGGGGTGGATGGTGCCGTTGAGCCAGCTGCAACTGAGGTCGAGGCCAATTACTTGACTTGTGTTGTTGTCACACTCGACCCCATCCCATGAGCAACAATCAGAACCCTCCTTCCACGACTCCATCTTCGGGTAAGAAAGGATTCCGGCAGAATCACACCTACTGTAGTCAGCATATTTATAGAAGGAAAATTGTTGCTTAAATTGGAGCAATGCAGAGGTCTGTTGTTGAGTGCAGAGTTGGGCATGCAAACAAGTAATCTGGAAAAAACAAAGAAACAAAAAGAGGTGAAAGAGTTGATTGTTAGAGACCATCTTTGCTCCTAGATTCAAAAACAAAGGTTGTATTGTAATGCTTGCTGACAATTAATTGGGGAGAGGCCAAATGCTTTATAGGCAAATGTAGGTGCAATGCAAAGCCTACAAACAAAAGTAGAGTGACTTTGACTAGTCATCAGTCTTCATTGATGTCTACATAGCTGGACCCCATAACGTGTGATGAGTGAAAAAGGAAGACTTGACTTCATAAATGTTGATCATAATCAACCGCTTAAAATGCCATAGTGTATATACTTAAAAAGATAATACATAACATAATTATAATGTTTTGTAATAAATACAGTAACATGTTATGACTTTTATCATTGAATTGATTCGTAACATTTCTTATCCCAAATAATTTGTAACATTTATATTATACTATTCATAATATAACAATAATAACATGTAATTTTAACTTTCTGATGTATTCGTACATTTGTTTATTCATAATTTTTAGACAAAATGATATAAGAGAAAAAAAAATTATGCGATTTTTACTCACCACAAATTATGCGATTATGCGATTTGTTTACTTTTGTTTACTCACCACAAATTATGCGATTTTTACTTAAAAAATCATAATTTTATTATGACAACAAGGTGGGTGCATACTTATTTTCTTAAAAATTGTGTGAATTAGAAACAACTTTTTTAAATAATGATCACTATATATCACTGGTTCTATGAAAAATGTTTGAGAGCACTAAAAAGGGATCACTAGAGGAATCACTAATGATGTGGCAGTGGGCCCCGCCCACTTTCTATGCCTTGTTTTTATTTTTTTATTATTTTTTTGCCATTCCCAATATATTAGTGCTATTAGTGATGTAGTTTTTAGTGGTCTAAATCATTGTTGATTGCTTAAATACAATAGTAGGTGTTTGAGGTTTGTTTATTTGGTGGCTATGTTTTTGGTTTATTTTCATTTTTATTGAATATTTTTTAAAAAAAAATTAAAATTTTAAGTTTCTAAATATAACTTGATAAGATGAATCACAAAATTTAAAAATAATTTTAAAAAGTCTAGGAAAGAGAAAAATAAGCCCCCCCCCCAAAAAAAAAAAGACTTTTTCGCTGATTTTTGGCATTATCATTATTTTGGAATTTTTCAAAAAAATTATTTTTTAGATTCGTCTATACAAGACAACCAAAATGAAAAAATTTTGACATAATTTTGGAAAAAAATTAGGACCAATTACACTAACAGTCCCTATAGTTTGGGGCTTGTATCACTTTGATCCCTGATTTTTTAATTATGATACATTTAATATTGAATTTTGAATCTCGTTCCAAATAAGGACAATTGAAGACATTTTTACTCCATTTCAAGGCAAAGTCATCAATTTGATGAAATATAAACTAGTTTAATAAAAAAAATGTCAAAAATTTATTTTAAAACTTTTAAAAATTATTTTTACTCACCAAAGATAAAATTATATAAAAATAATAAATCTTTTACATTTTATTTTTTTTTTTTTTTACCAAATTAATTTTTAGCATGTGTTTGGATGATGATCATGTAACGAGTGATTGTTTTTGTTGATGTGTTTGGATGGTTATCATGTAATAAATAGTTGTATTTGTTGTTAACAGATATTTTTGGATGGTTATTAGATTTTTAATGTATAATCGACATGTTTAATATATGAAATGTTTTTAATTTTGAATTTTTTTTTATTTAATGGATTGGTTTAATAATGACATCAAAGTTGTCGCTATATTTGATTTTTGAAAAAATAAAACTAATTTAATGAAAATAAATATCAAAAAAAATTATTTTAAAAAATAATTTCTACTCCCCCAAAAGATAAAAATGTATAATCGACATGTTTAATATATGAAATGTTTTAATTTTGAATTTTTTTTATTTAATGGATTGGTTTAATAATGACATCAAAGTTGTCGCTATATTTGATTTTTGAAAAAATAACACTAATTTAATGAAAATAAATATCAAAAAAAAATATTTTAAAAAATAATTTCTACTCCCCCAAAAGATAAAATTATATAAAAATGTTTATTTTATTTTTTTCAACAATTTAACTTTTAGTTTCTTAAAAAAAATTTCTGAAAATAGATTTTGAAAACCAAACTAAACAGATCTTTATAACCAAAAAAGTTCCAACATTATTCATTAAAAAAAATCTATTATATTACAAACAACATAAAAGTTAACCAATACAAAATAAGTTGTATGACGACTTTGTCCTTTAAATTGAGTAACAATATTTGGAACAAGGTTTAAAATTCAACGTCAAATATATCACAATTGAAAAGTCAAAGGCCCAAATAACACAAATTCCAAACTATAAGGATTGTTAGTGTAATTCGTCCCAAAAGTTATTAAAGACCAAAAAAATGGGAGAAAAAATGTGAGGCTTTTTTATGGCAACCTCATCCTTAAAAAGACATACACCAAGACCTAAAAAATTCTATAATACACACTCATTTTTCGATATGTAACTTATGCCTAGTCATAACTTTTGTGATTTTTTATTTTGATCTGTTGTGGTGTTAGCTATAACGTAGTTATAACTCATTGTGGTGTTAGTCTCTCTTTTTTTTTTTTGGTTATTACTAAAGAATTTTTTTTTGTTATACCTCAAGTGATTTTGATTATAATCTTTGGTTATAATTCATTGTGATATTAGTTATGACATATTATGGTTATTATTTTGGTTACAATCGAAGATGTGTTTTCCTATACCTCAAGTAGCATTTGGTTATGACTTATTATTATTTTTAATTATGACTTAAAATGATTTTATTATGACATTTGTAATGTAGAATAACCCCAGGGGAAATTCTATAGTACCCACCCATATGCATCTTGTTACACATTTTTGTGGTGTATGTTATAATATAATTTTTAAGTAGAGTTGCGACAATTTGTGATTCAGAAATGAAGTTATGTATTTTATGATAGTTACTGGTAATGCTATACATTTTTTTTATCTAAACATTTCTTGACAAACAAATATGTAATATTATCACAAAAATATGCAACATTATCACGAAATTCGTAATATCATTTCTGAACTACAAATTGTAGTTACTCTACTAAAAAATTACATAACATAACCATAAAAATATATAACATATATCACAAAAATACGTAACAATAATGCGTATACTATATATAGCATGCATTAAGTGAGCGATGACTGGTAAAAGACAAGCTCGAGCGGAAAAATCCTCTCTAGTCCACTTTTTACGTTGGTAGATGTTTGGATATGTGAGATGTTAACGGGATCAAATTTTGGTGATTTGCATTATTTAATTTGCATGTATTAATTTAAAAAATTAAATTAAATTAATAATTGACCACATGACTTTACAATAGTTATTTTCAAAAATAATTGCCATAAACATTTATTTTCTTAAAACAAATATGATAAAATTATTTAGATATAATTATCAAAAAAAAATTTTTTTTTTTCCGTAAAGCATTTGACATCCCATAATGTGAATAATGGAAAAAGCAAAATGCCTTATACCCAATATGCAAAATGTTATGTTGTGCACTCCTTTAGAGGTGCGTACCATATGCACCCTACTATAAAATGTGTAATTTTATTTTAAAATTTTGTAACATTAATTATAAAATATATAATCTTGTCACAAATTAGCGTAACAAAAAATATCGTAACCAAGCCATAAATTATTGCAATATGAATCACAAAATTTTGAACATTTTATTATGTTAATCTATGACGAGATTATGTATTTTGTAATTGGTATTATGAAATTTTATAATATAATTATATATTTTTATGATAAAATACATATGGTATACACCTCTAAAATTGTACACATATGATTTTCCACCAAAATATTGATGCAATGCAAAACCAACAAGTGACTTTGACTAGCTAGTCTTTACTGATGTCTACATCACAATTATCAAAATTCCAATTATGATACTAAATGAGTTTGACTAGCTAGTCTTCACTGATATATATAATATGGTTATCAGAATTCCAATTTTACTAGTAAGATTTTAAAATTTTACGCTTGATGCAATGCAAATCGACAAGTGACTTTGACTAACTAGTCTCCACTGAAGTCTACATCATGATTATCAAATTTCAATTATGATACTAAATGACTTTGACTAGCTAGTCTTCACTGGGTATATACGATATGATTTTCAAAATTCCAATTTTACTAGTAGGATTTTAAAATTCTACGATTGATGCAATGCAAGCCGACAAGTGACTTTGACTAGCTGGCTTTCACTAATGTCTACATCATGATTATCAAAATTCCAATTATGCTACTAAATGACTTTGACTAGCTAGTCTGCACTGATATCTACAATATGGTTATCAGAATTCCAATTTTTCTAGTAGAATTTTAAAATTCTACGATCTTAGTTTGAGCAAATGATTCGAATCATACTAAGATTTTAAATATTATAGAATCTTAAAATTATTACGATTCTAGTTAAAAAATTATATAGAATTACACTAGGATCTTGAATCTATTATGATCTCGATTCTATAATTTTTTATTTCTTATTAGTTATTTATTATATATATATATATATAAAATTTGACTATAAATTATTTTTTTAAACATCTCATCTAATTTATATTATCATCAAAGATACATTATAACAAATTTATCATAAGTCATTAGGTCATAGGTCCATTTTATAGACTTTTAAGGGGATAGATTCAAGCGCCTTTTGTTTGGGTCACAAGGACAAAGGCATATTTTGCTTGGATTAGGCATTATCTGTACAAATTATGCCCCACAACCTCTCTCCCTCTCTCTCTCTCTCTCTCTCTCTCTCTCTCTCTCTCTCTCTCTCTCTCTTCAAACCTTCCATCTTCAACTTTATAGAAGGTTGATGAAGCAAATTCACCGTAGAAAATGCTTTGTTGCAACAGATCTAATTATCGAAAATCAGAGCAAAAGCCTCAATTTTTTACCAAATCATTTTCAGATCTACACAGAATTCTTGGTTTTGGGTTTTGAATTTTGGTGTTTTGGATAAAAAATGGCGTTAAGGAATCGAACCATCTTGTATAG